ACCACAATACTGTCTCGACACCGTATCGTCGATTAAAACTTTCCAGAGGAGAGCCGATGCAACTGTTAACTGGGCGGAGCCCCCGAGCTATCCTGCTACCACAATTTAGTTTTCGGAAGGAATCGATGCGCCACATAGTGATCCCCTCGTAATCGAGCTTACTATTAGGGACCACGATGTCGCCAAAATCCTAATCGACACGGGAAGCTCGGTAGACGTCGCGAAAACCTTAGAAGGATGGAAATCGATTTGTCCGAAGTAACCGCTGTCCCGAAGCCATTAACAGGATTCTCCGGGGGAGTAACAAAAGCCGTGGAGTTTTCCGTAGCTGACCATCCTGAAATTTACAATGTAATCATGGGAACAACGTGGTTGAACTCGATGCGAGCCGTTCCATCAACCTATCATTTATGCGTCAAGTTCCCGACTTTTGGCGGAATCAAGACGATATGAGGAAACCAAAAAGAGTCGCGCATGTGCTTCCTGGCCGAGCATAAGATGAGGAAGCCCGTAGTAGACTGGGTCGCAGATGAAAACAGGAAAAAGCTAAAGACGAACCGAGAACCTGCGAACGAGCTCGCCAAGCTCATATAGCAATTACAGATCGGCGAGGCGCGTGAGGAGAAGGGCGCGCCGAGCTGTAATCCGGTGATCTCAGTATGCATAGACGAATTACATCCGAGCGATGCGTAGAAATCGGAGCAACACTCGACGAGGTGATTAAAGCGGAGCTCATCGCTTTCTTTAAACAGAATGTTGGAACATTTGCATGGAGCGCGGAAGACATGCCTGGAATTAGCATCGATGTGGTGTGCCATGAGCTCAACGTGGACCCGACGTTCAAACCAGTGAAGCAGAAGAGCAGAAAGCTAGGTCTCGACCGAGCCAAGGCAGTGAACGACGAAGTAGAGCGACTCCTAAAGCTGGGTTTGATTTCCGAGGCCAAATACCCAGATTGGCTCGGTAATCCCATAGTAGTGAAGAAGAAAAACGGTAAATGGCGTGTGTGCGTAGGTTTTACCGACTTCAATAAGGCGTGCCCGAAAGACAGTTTCCCGCTACCTCATATCGATCGACTAGTCGAAGCCACGGCGGGGAACAAACTGCTCAGTTTTATGGATGCTTTTTCAGGGTACAACCAGATATTCATGAACCCCGACGACAGGAAAAAAACGGCATTCATAACAGATCGGGGAATTTTCTGCTACAAGGTGATGCCTTTTGCGCTTAAGAATGCGGGCACGACCTACCAGAGGCTCGTCAACAAAATGTTTGCGGAACAGCTCGGCAAGACGATGGAAGTTTATATTGATGACATGTTGGTTAAGTCACTCGAGGAGAAAGATCACGTGAAGCATTTGCAAGACTGTTTCGAGCGGCTGAACCTGCATAACATGAAGCTGAATCCGGCGAAGTGTCGATTCGCGGTGATGTATGGTGAGTTCCTCGGATACCTCGTAGTCCAAAGTTTGACAGGACGCGTAGCAGATCTGAACCGCTTTGTTTCCAGGTCGACCGATAAATGTATGCCTTTTTATGATACCCTTAGGGGCAATAAGAAATTTGAATGAGACGAACGGTGTGAAAAAGCATTCCAAGACCTGAAAGTCTACCTGGCAAATCCGCCGGTCCTCGCAAAGCCAGTGGAAGGAGAACCGCTCAACTGCAGTAAATGGTGTCCTGGTCAGGGAAGAGCGGAGAGAGCAAAAACCCATCTTTTACGTGAGCCGCAGTTTAACCGAGGCAGAGACGCGTTATCCACAAATGGAGAAGGTCGCCCTAGCTGTTGTAATGTCGGCTCAGAAATTGAGACCATACTTTTAGTCGCACTCGATTGTAGTCCTTGCTACTCTGCCACTACGAAGTATCCTGCAAAGCCCGAGCCAACCCGGAAGGCTAGCGAAATGGGCGGTGGAGCTAAGTGAATATGACATCGAATACAGGAACAGATCATGCGCGAAGTCTCAAGTATTAGCCGATTTCTTAATCGAACTTCCGAAAGAGTAGAAGAGCTGACTTCCGAGTCCACGTGGATATTGCATGTTGATGGTTCGTCATCAAAACCGGGCTCGGGGTAGGGATACGACTAATGTCACCAACTGGCGAGATCATCGAACAGTCATTTTGTGTCACGTTTCATGCATCCAACAATGAGGCGGAATACGAGGCATTAATCGCTGGACTTCGGCTCGCGCTTGGGATCCGGATCCAGAAAATCCGCACCTTCTGCGATTCACAGCTCATCGCGAACCAGTTCAACAGAGAATACGAAGCGAGAGACGGCAGGATGGAAGCGTATCTGAAAGTAGTTCAGGAGTTGACGAAGCAGTTCAAAGAATTTGAACTTATGCGAATACCTCGGGGGGAAAATGCATCCGCCGATGCCATAGCCGCCCATGCCTCGACCTCGGAACCAGGATTGAAGAGGGTTACACCGGTGGAGTTTATCGAGAAACCCAGCATCGGCGTCGTAGATGGAGTCAACCTGATCAATCCTCCCAAAGAAGAGCAAGAGATCAACGAAGACAACGGCATAGCCGACATGGACGAGATGCTTCCCGAGAAACAACAGAATACAGAAGCGACAGAGAATGGATGGGAGCAATTCGGGCATACATCGCAGACGGAGAAGTGCCATCGGACAAATGGGCAGCTCGGAAACTCAAAGCTCAAGCAGCTCGTTATATACTCCTGGACGGAAACATCTTCAAGTGGCAATTTTCGGGACCATTGCTAACATGTGTCGAAGGAGCCAAAGCGAGAAAGATCATGGAAGAAGTTCATAGTGGCGCATGCGGCAACCATGCAAGCAGAAGATCTTTAGCAAACAAGATAAAGCAACACGGTTACTACTGGCTGACCATGGTGAAGGACTGCGAGAAGTTCTCTGTCAAGTGTGAAAAATGCCAGAGGCACGCCCCAATCATACATCAGCCTACCAAACTGTTATCATCAATCTCGGCTCCTTATCCGTTTATGAGGTGGTCAATGGACGTTGTCAGACCTTTGCACAAGTCTAAACAGAAATGATTCCTATTGGTTCTGACTGATTATTTTCCCAAGTGGGTCGAAGCCGATTCGTATGCGAGCATCAAAGACGCCCAAGTCGAGCATTTTGTCTGGAAGAATATCATCTGTCGACATGGGCTCCCTTACGAGATTGTTACAGACAACGGATCCCAATTGATCTCGGCTCGGTTTGAAGGTTTTTGTGAGAAATGGAAAATACGATTGAGCAAGTCGAGACCGAGATATCCACAAGAAAATAGTCAAGCCAAAGCAGCTAATAAGACGATTCTCGACGGACTGAAGAAACGGCTCGATGCTAAAAAAGGACACTGGGCGGATGAGTTAGAGGGAGTGTTATGGTCTCACTGAACAACTCTGAGACGAGCTACAAGAGAGACCCCGTTTGCTCTGGTTTACGGAGCAGAGTGCATTATTCCGCCCGAAGTAGATTTCCTAGGAATTCGCCAAAGACTTCTCCCCAGACAGAAGGCTTAAATCATCTAATGATGTTAGACGAGCTGGACTTAGTGAACAAACGTCGCAATCAAGCATTGATAAGACTTCAAAATTATCAACAGGCAACGGCGAGGTATTATAACAAGAATGTCCGAAGTCGACGGTTCAAAGAAGATGACTACATACTTCGGAAAGTTTTTCAGAACACCGCGGAAAGGAACGCATGAAAGCTGGGGGCAAATTGGGAAAAACCTTATAAAATTACCAAGGTAGTCTGACTGGTGTTGATGAGCTAGAAAACATGGAAGGAGCCCCGATCCCGAGATCCTGGAATGCGATGCATCTGAAAAAATATTATCATTAGGCAGCATCAACCGACAACCCTGAACTACGAGACGGCTTGATCCCTGAAAAGGGTACGTAGGCAGCCTATCTTCGGATAGGTTCAGATGTCCCCCCTCCTAAAAAGGGGGGGGGGGGAGTGGGTACGTATACGTCATACTTCCCTTTATATTTACAAGAATCATTTTACGATTTTCTTCAGATTTCTGTTCAATTATTTTTTTCTAAAAAAAAAAACAAAAAATAGATTTGCTACTCATCTGATTTCTTTTGCAACTTAAGTTAATTTTCTTAAGCATTTTCTTTATAACATTCAACATCTCATATCCGCATTTCCTATCTCGTTGCTGGCCACAACAGATAAGCTAAAAACAAATTCTCTAAACGAATTTTAACCAGTTCTCCTATATGGACTAGGGTTCAATGACATCCTTCACAGGATAACAGCGCGCTATATAAATTTTCTGATCGATCCCTCAATAGTTTATGGATGAGTAAGCCGATACACATCGCAAATGCTAAACACTTAAACCCGATACACATTGGTTATCAACATCTCGGAAGCAACACTGAGCTGTTTTCACAATGCTCTTTATATACTACAAGTTCTGAGAATAGAAACTATACGATCGAAAAATCATAAATAAATGCAAGGATCAAGCAATTCAATAAGTCCTAAAACCGATATCATCTGCCGTCAAGGCATAAGTCATTCCGAGCACCTCGGCTCGGCAATAGAAACAAAGCCAACAGAACATAGTTCAGAAGTAGCATAAGTGGATAAAGCCATCCAGGCAACAAAGTCTAAAGCAAAAAAAAAAAACAACAAAACAAAGGAAAACAATGTGTGACACCAAGCGCGGAAGTCACTCTCTCGGAGACCTGCCAGAACTCCTCCTCTCCTCGACAAGCTCGGCGACTCGCGGTGTCCCGATGGTGGAGCCTGTCGGCTCAGACACACCGACCAACTGTGCAACAGGGCTCCACCGATTTATTTCCGAGGTTAGCTCCACCCGAATTCTCGGAAACAGGACTCAAGGTTACTCGCCTCTAAGGCAAGTAGCAATCCTCTCGAACCCCTCATCGACTCCCACCAATTCGGCTCGCCACTATTTCAGCTTCTCCGCTTCGGCGTCAAGAGTTGGAGCGTCGTCCTTCTTGAGGAGCTCGATGAGCTGTAGGTTGCCGTCAATCTACGCAAGATCCAACTCATTTTCCTTCGCATCGGCCAAATCCTTGAGGTTTTTCTCCGCGCTGCTGAAACGGCCTCGCATCTTCTTGGTCAGGTCCCTCCTTGCAGATTTTACCGCTCTCTCGATGTTCGCCTCGTGAAGAGCGTCTTTCTCGGTCAATTGCCTCTGCAAAAAAGCAATATCGGCATCCTTCTTAGCTCTTGATTCCTCGAGACGAACAGCCATATCGGTGGCCTTAACACACTCATCTTTCAACGTATTCTTCTCCGCCTCGAGAACTTTGATCCGAGCTTTAGCCTGAGCCATGGCAGAGGAAAATTTCCGCTCGGCCTCATCCAATTTTGTCTGAAGCGTGACAGCGTCCTTCCTCGCCTCGTCAATTCGTCGTTGATCCTTGCTAGCATCTGCTTCGTATCCCGTGATCGTCTCGTTTATGGAAGCCAAAAACTGCAAAAAAATAAAAAAACGCAAGTGTGAAACGCCAACCAATACTTAAACAAAACGAGCTAAAGTTTCGAAAAATTACCTTGGTGCCTGGCTGGGACATGCTAGCATAAGACTTCGCCTTCATAAGCGAATCAGCGGGCGGCAGCCGAATTCCCTTGTTGTTAATCTTAGACAGAAGCGACGCCGAGGCAGAAGCATCGTCAATCAGAGCAGAAATTGGCTCGGCTTCAAGCAAAATGGTACGCATCTTCTTTGGCTTGGTAACCCCCTTTCCTTTATCTCCATCCGAAGCGGAACGCTTCCGGTTCGAGCCGCCCTTATGCGTCGTCAACGTAGAAGAAGCAGGCCTTGATTGGCTCGGCAAACCCATGACGATAACACGATCCTCACCACCAGCAGTAGGGACCTCGGACGAGCTGTGGCGCCTTTTCCAGAGACTTCGGAATGGATCTCGACAACTTTCTTCGGGACAGAAACATCTGCGTGGTTCGATTCATTAGTTACGAGAGTCTCCTTGGTGTTAACGATCGCTTCGCCGTTCGGCCCGCCACTAGCTGACGCTTCGGGAAGATTCTGCTCAATACGAACAGTCGATGTCTACGCTTCATGGGCTCGGCTCGCTCTCTCCCTCTCGAAGAAGCAGACGAATCGTAACTAACTGGAGTACCAGCGAATAAAGCTCTCGCTTTTTCGACTCTCACAAACGAAAAGTGCTTTCTCCAGTTCACCTTCCTAGCCGCGAGAATTTCCTTGGCTTGAGCGATATCCTTGGGAACTGGCGGGAGTGGATCACGAACTGCAAACGTAAAAAAAAAACGACAAACGTTATTACCAGAAATAAAATGCGAACCGACCAAGAACTACCGAGTGGTCCCTAGTCCGTCTTGGTTAAACTAAGGAAATCGTTCCCAACGGTAGCCTCGTCCACGGGAAAGTAGAAGAAATAATAATCCTAGGCATCGTCCTTGCTCGGAAAACCCCCGATTATTCTCCAGATTATCTTATTCGAAATGTAATATTTGCCCGGTTTGGAAGATCGGCGAATTTCCAAAAAGTTGTGAAGATGGTTGACCCAACTTCGATGCCGAATTCGTAGCCGCAAACCAAAATCCAGATCATATGCCGAAGACCTCGCGGCATGATCTGTCTGAGTGAAATCCCGTGTAACCAAAGATAGCATAAAATCGGCTTGGGTGTAGGAAACCATAAACAGCACAGCTCGAAAAAATATTCGTAAACCGTGAAGTGGTTTGGCGGTAGATCTTCGGCTCGGTCGAAAGGCTCGGGCGCAACAAACTCAACCGGCTCGGAAATCCTACAACGTTGCCTCACTCTTTGCAACGATTCTTCAGTCGAGAGGGACGAGCCAGGAGGATCCGGTTTCCTCTTCTTTTTACCTCTCCGAGAGCTCCGAGGTTTCGAAGAACCTATTCCGAGCCTCGCCATTGCAACCTCAAGTTCCCGTCTGGCTTTGGCAGGGTCAAAATCGAAGTCCTCTGGCTCGGGTTTTATGTCGTCGGAAAGATCCTTCGCTTCGGAATCTCAAGGAAAGCCACAATTCGGGCTCAGGGCAAAGTTCAAAGGACCTCGGTGCGCAAAAGAGCTTACGGAATCAGTTGAATCGGTGGAAATTTCCGGCTCGGATCGATGTGGCATCTTGCTTTAGGCTCGGATGATAATCGAAGAATGGAGAAAATTTGGAGAATATTGGAGGAGGATCGGAACTTCGACGGCGGATCAGAAAGTTTTCGAGCAGATCGGAAACATCAAACGATCTGCCGCACCTCAAGAAAACTCTAGGTGGCGCGGCGCAAAAAAAAAAGAGAAAAGGAAGAAAAAAAATCGGGAGAGAAAGGGAGAGAGGAGAGAATACCTTTTGGAAATTTTGGAGAAGTGAGATTGTGGGAATGAAGGAGGGGAGCTCGAGTTTATATAGAAATTTGGATGCGGGTCCCACTCTGCCTAGGGAATTTTGCAAAAATATAATGGGCTTAGGGAGGAGAATGCAACCCCTAAGGCCCAAGCCTGAACTCAAAAAAAAAAAATCGATAAAACCTCGGTGTAATCGTATTCAAGAGTGGCTCCGAATTCGCTTCGAAAGATCTTTCTTTCGACAAAATTCGCCAACTCGCGTGTTCATAACAAAAAAAAGGGATCTCGACAAAACAAGTCGTAACGTTATTCGACGACGGAAGTCCACCGAGCCGAGCTAACACCTCAATGAGACAAGCCGGCCAACATTAGCCGAAGTTCATTCTCACCTTGGCAAAACTAATCGGCTCGGCAACTTTAGCCGAATTTCATTCTCGCCTCAGCAAAATTAGCTCGGCAACATATGCTTCAGCGTTCGTTCACTTCGACTCGGCGACATTCGCTGCATCGTTCCTTCGCTTCAGCTCGGCAACATATGCTTCAGCGTTCCTTCACTTCGGCTCGGCGACATTCACTGCATCGTTCCTTCGCTTCAGCTCGGCAACATTTGCAACGTTGCCCGTCATTTCGCTTCGACAAATCAATCCATCTAAGCTCCCTTCGCTTTGGCTCGGTAAAGACATGAGCGGAATTTTGTCTCGGCTCGTCAAACGCAAAACCAAAAAAAAAAACAAAAAACAAAAAAACAAAAAAACAAAGTGAGCCGAGCCAAAAGCCTCGACAAGGAGATTTATCGTATGATCCGTCAGTTAACCTCGGCTTCGTTAATTTAATCTCGACATCTTCGTATACGAAATTGACAAGCTGGGGGGTAAACTGTTGGGGTCGGTTTTCACCCCACGAGTTTAACTGCTCGAAAAAAGACTAAGTGTCGGAATCGGGTTTCGAAAAGTTCAAGTCCACGATTTTGGTGGGAGGAATCGAACCAAAGAAGCAATTAAACCGAGCCGATCCAGATTTGATCACAGACCGAGCCAAACCAAAAGCTGGTTCCGTTAAACCGAGCCAAATCAGAGGCTCTCGATCCGGCCGAACCAAACCAGGTTGAGCATAGAACCGAACCGAGCGGGGTCAAGTTCGGAAGATCTTCCCGCGTACTTCAGTCGAAGAGCAATCCCGTAAAAAAAAAGTATTGGGCCGAGCCGGGTAACCGCGAAGATCCAGTAAACGAGGCCAAGAGGACTTTACCCTAAGAAGGATCGAAATCGCCAGCCGCACAAGAGAAAAGGAAAAATTCTGAGAATCTCGGGAGAGATTCTCGGCTAGGCGGTTTGTAGATTTAGTATAAATAGTCGATGTAATTCTCTCATTATGTAACTTTGACGCAATCACAGAAACCCTAAGCAATAAAACTACTTTTCGACCTTTGAGATTTTCACTTAGAAGCTTTAGATCCCTCTTTTTCCTTAAAAAATTTTGATTGTGCAAGTTTCGACTCACACATCGCTCTTGCTTCTGCCAAACTTCATAGGTTAGTAAATCCGACTCTTTGACACCCTTTTTCTTTTAAGTTTTTGTTTTGTTTTATTTGTTTCAGGTTTCTGGGACATGTATTCACCCATGGAGCAAGAGGATATGATTGGGCGAGGGTATCACAACCCGTGTGCTGCTCATTATCAACCCTCTTCGTGCAGTCTCCGAGAGAAATCAAAGTCTGAGTTACTAGACGAAGTTAGGTGTCTTGTTAGAACACTTGCCTGTAACGTTGATATAATTTTGTCTCACAAACTCAAGAATGACGTGGGTCAAGGAGATTACAACCACTGTAACCCTTATAACCTGTCTGTTGCTCAAAACTCTCACACCTATGGCGAATCAAACTGCCGAGATGAAGTGTATTCGCCCCCTATGGTGAACCACCAACCATCTCACCTTTCTCCTCATCAAATTCTGGACCAGGATGATGAGACTCATCGATTAAGTATTCCGCTTAATCAATTAAGTCTCCAGTTTAGCCGAGTTGATGCTATGACGAGTTGATCAGACTCATCTATTGCTGCCATTGGTAAGAAGCTTGATTCCACCTACATTGAACTCAACCAGAAGTTTAATGATCTTTCTGAGCGTGTGAAGTCTGTAGAAGAGCAACATCTTAAGATTGTTGCAACTCTAGAAGAAAGAATTGAAGCTCCTAAAGAAGAGCAAGGAATAGAAGTTCATGATTCTCTTTGTGATATCAGATCTGATGTGATTCAAATACCAAAGCCTACTGCAGAGGGAACAGGTATTTCAAAAAATAATTCATCTATGATTTATATTCACGTTGGGTATCTTTCTTCTGCAGCTCTATTAGGTTTCACATCCAATTTGCCTCTTCAAGTGGAAGATTGTCTTGTTCCTAATGATTTCCATGTTATGGAGATGAGAAAGGATGCAAAGAACTCTCATTCCCTGACCATAAGCAGTGGAGAAAAACCAGTTTTTGATCCTGGACATGAGAAAGGATGCAAAGAACTCTCATTCCCTGACCTCTTGACCCGCGGCCGACTCATCTTCCCACCCGCGGCCAACCTTACCTTCACCTAGCAACACGTCTGACAGATTCCCCGAGACGGAGGCTTTTCACTTCAATTCAGACTTTGGTGTCATCGTCAGTTTTGTAGAGGAGAAAGTAAAATCTCCAGAACATTTGAAATCATAAGATTTGGAGCAGTGAGCTGAAAGTTATGGCCGTTTGAAGATGAACTTGTCTCACAATGGGACCAATCAGATGCGCATCAAAGAACCGGTTAGACAGGAGCTTTGCTCACCCCAGACGCAGTCGGACCCTTCATAACAGTTGGAGCTGCGTGAGTCACTAGTATCATCAAGTTGGAAAATCAGGTATTGGAGAAGTTATGCAAGTTGTGGTGCAAGTGGTCTGTATTGGTATCTCTTCAAAGAGATTCACAAAGACCAATGGCATCTCTTCTTGTCAACATTCAGGTAAGAGGATTTAAAAGATCAAAAAGATCTTTCTCTTCATCTTCCCCATTAAGCTTGGAGATTTTGAGAAAAGATCATATTTCAAACTTGACAAATTCCTTTCAAATTTTCGAACCTGTCTCATTCTTTTTCAAAAGAGATTCCAAATCTGTCATCAAATCACACTTTCATCAAATGTACGGTACCAAATTTCTCACTTTTCCTCAAGAACTCAAAATTGGGGTTTTCTTAGAATAAGTAGAAATTTACCTTAGGATGATTGTAAATTGTCTTTGACCTCAAGACTAGACTTTTAGGTAGTTTAATTGCATGATTAAACAGATAGACCATAGAGATTTGAAATTTTCAAAAATCTGAGATTTAAGACTTTGAGCAAATCGAAATTTGGAGATCTGTTTGATTCAGCTTTGCAAATCTGGATTGTTTGGTTCTTGTTGATAGAAAACCAGATTAAATTACATATGAGTGCGCATTAACATCATCTTGATTTAGAAATCTCATGTGTTGGACATCAATATATCGAACTTGACCAGGAACTCTCAGATTTTGCAATGTTTGATGCATTTACAGCTTGTTTGTCATATGAATGCGTTTGTGATAACTCTATAAACACCTTGCTTATAAAAATCGATACAAAAGCAGCTTCAGTTACTCTCTGTCTCGAGAATTTTGTTTTGCAGGTCATGGATCTCTCTCAGGTACGACTCATTTGAACCAAGAGGAGTGCTCATGTGAAAAAGCCCCGTTCACAGGAGACATATGACCTTTAAACGAGACACAGCCGAGTGATGATGAACCCTTCTCCACCTTCATATGTCTCGAAAAGTCAAGTCTTCCTCTAAAAGTCAAGTCAGAATCTTTGCTGGAGAGATTGAGCGAACCTCCACTCAGCTATCTTTCCCTCGAAAAGTCAAGTCTTCCTCTAGGCCGAAGGTGAAGTTTGTCAGATCACCCCAGGTTTCCTTGCTTTGCTTGTATCATTGCAAGAAACCTAGTGAAAGTTAAGCATGAGATGCTTACATCTGATTATCAGGACTACTCACCAGCTTTTGGGAGCATCATTACTTCGCTTATGATAGCAGCAGGAGTTGGTTTTTCAGCTGAGACACCTCTTAGAGAGGATTGATTTGATCTCTCTCAGTTCTCTAGAAACAGGACTATCACCAGGGCTAAGATGGACCTAATTGGATTTTCTTACAAGTTCTGCACCAGTTCAACCGAATACAGGGTCCTTCTACCATCAGATTCAATGCCCCGTCTCCAAGATGGTTCAGACCCAGGATGGAAACCAGAGACTAGCGACTTCCTACCATCTTTGCCACTCTTCCCTCTGACCATGAAGCAATTTCTGGCTGCAATAGCTGATATGTTCATAATTTCCATCATTTAGGTTGTATATTTCATCCCAAATCATGTTATTTCTCATGCATATTAGGTCTTTAGGTGTTGTTTTAGGACTTAGGAGTTGCATTAGGTCCCAATGAGTCTTTGCATGTTTGGAGTGTTTATCAGGTGTATTTGGAGCTATTTAGTTGAAAAGGTGAATCCAGGAAGAGAAACAGTGATCAGAGCTTGGAAGATGGTGAAAA